CCCCAAAACCCCAAAACCCCAAAACCCCAAAACCCCGAACATGGCAAATCTTTAAAATTGCAATATATTAATTAAATTATAATCTATCAATTATGTTCTAACTCATTTTCTAATATATTTATGGAATTTTTATCAGAATTTCCGACAACAAGATACAAAAACTTTAAATGTAAATCTTTTGCTAGCGGCCTCTATTTACTCTTGTAAAAAATACTAAATATCAAAATCTTAAGTCCTTCCAAGACATTCATTTACAAGATAATCATAAATACCATAATCATCGTTGATGATTAGATTTAGTTATATAGTTAGCTGCTAAAAATGATGAAATTTATAGCCATCAAAACCAAAAGCATTGATATAATTACTAAGTGATGCAAAAAGAAAAATGATTTTTAGCTTTTACTATTTATTTAGAGGTTTATTTAATCTTAGTTGGTATCAATATGCTTTGATTACAGTTCAATTGATTTGAATTCAATACTTTCGAATTTAGCTGGAGAAATTATTTAACTTCCAAAATTATTAATTGCTTTAATGTCTTTCTTGCTTGTGAATGTATCATTATTATTCTACTAACTATCATCTTACATATTGTTCAGCAGATAACTATCATACATATTTTGATCTGAATTTATGTTATTTTCAAACCTATTAAATTGTGATTACTATTCAATATTCTGTCTTTTCTTCTTATTAAAGGATTATTATAGGTAATCATTGAGATTGCCGTTGAAAATTGTTATAATGATTTATGCCACTACTATAAATACATAATTGTATTGATCAAAAATTTAAATAGGAACTCCAAAAAATAGGATTGATAACTGGTAAATAAAGCAAGTTGCAAAAGTCAAAATCCAGAATCTAAAAAGTTTTATTGGCTAAGGAAGGTCTAAAAACTTTTAATTTAGCTTGCAAAAGCAATTCATTAATGGATGATATACTTTAAGAGCAGTTTTATATAATTTCTAGAAGCTTTTGTCTTATTTCTTATAAATCCTTAGCTGCTCAGATTATTCTTGATTTTGATATACAATCGATATTAGAATAGTTAGCCAAGGAGTTATAGCAATAATAGTGATCATAATGTTTAGGAGCAGGGTACTTTCCTTTTATTTAGATTATTAGTTCACTATTTGATGAGCATTGTCAATACTAATATGTAATCCACCAGCTGTGATATTAGTAGTAGAATTAGCATCCTAAGTAATATTAGTATTGTTTGAAGTATTTGTTTCATTCTAGGTAGTATTAGTAGAGTTTATTTCATTTTACTATGTTGTAGTATTTACACTTGTGGTATTACTAGAGCTTGTTTCATTGCCTTAATTTGTTTAATTTTATGTACTGCTATTTGAAGTTTCATTAGAAGTCGAATTAATTGTTGTATTCGAAGAAGTCTCATTTTAAGTGGTATTTTATTGAGTTATATTGCCCTATTAATTTGTTTCATTTGTAGTTTATGTATTGTTAGTTATAGAGTTAGTTTAATTTTAAGTTGTATTTGCTGAAGTACTGTTTTATTAATTTTAAGTTGTATTTTCATTAGTCGTATTTCCATTTGTAATATTACTGCTGTTATTTATGGTCGAGTTACTCGAAGTTTAGTTAGCATCTGTAGTTTGATTAGCGGTTGGTTGATTCGTTGCATTTGAAGTTTGATTATTACTAGAATTATTAGTAGCATTTGAAGTTTAATTTGTATTAGCAGTTGTTGAATTAGATGAAAAATTACTATTTTAAGTCGAATTACTTTATACAGTAGAATTTCCACTACTGCTTTCGTTATTTGTGTTATTAGTTTAATTCAAGCTAGATGCATTGTTAGTTGCATTTGTACTATTTTCAATAGGGAATGTTCTATTAACCTTGGAATAGATTGCTGAAAATTGAGATAAATGTGAAGACTAACAAAGCACAGTACCATTTGTAGTAAAAGTAGTTTTGATACCCAAATCAAGCCACTATCCAGTTGACTCATTGAGATAGACACAGGATATATTGTAGTCAAAGGTGGATGACTAGTTTTACTTAATCTGATAGATCATATCAGCAACCTAGGAGTTCATACTGAGGCTAATATCAAATGTCTTATTTGGATCAGATATATTGACATCCAGAGGCTATTAATTGTTATCAAATGCATTGATCTCTATTGAGGATTAAACCAAAGATGATGAATTCAAATCTTTAGTAAATTGGACTTGTACCATGCTGATTCCTAAGCTATTTAGGATACTTATTGGTGGTAATTGAACAACCTCTTAGTTATTCAGAGCGTTTGAAGCTACAATTAAACTTTGAGAGTTTAAGCTTGACAGCTTTAACACACTCATACTAGTTGTTTCAGTTTGATAAGTAACTATCGGCTAATTTGAATTAATTGCATCTCTAAGCTCGTTTTAAGATATTAAGGAAGATATGTTGGAAAGGGTTTCAAAGTATACTGTCTTATTGCTTAATGATGTGTTTGTAAACACTTTTCTTAGATAACTAATGATGAATGTCACTTGCGTTTTCAGCTGCTCAGAATTTTCACTTTATTAAGCTTAAATATTATAATCTTAGGCAGTGTAGTTAAAAACATTAAAGAAAGATATAGCAATATCATCTTAAATCTAAAGTGTGCTATTTTTTGCAAGAATATATAGAATATTTATAGATTGCTTTTTATATTACCAATATTACCTTGAAACTTCAATTGATTCTAATTAATCTATAGCTACCAAAAACTTCTCAAAATTTACTAGAAGATAATTCACAATTTACTATGCATATGAAGTTATAGATTATGCAGTTATTTATGGAATAAGTCCATTTTCAAGCATCTACATCAATATTAGTAAATTATAATAATCTCTAAATGTTTGAATCTCTTCAGTTAAAGATTGGTTAGATTATCTCTGAAGTATTTCCATAAGCTTTTTATCATAATCGATGATATTATAATATCCAATGAAATTATTAGCTGTCAAATTTTGGAAAATTATTTTGTTACTTAAGTCAATACTATTAAGAAATTGTTCATTAGAGTCATAGAAATCAATTAGCAACTATTAACTTTTTGGAAGAGTAATATTTTAATAGTACCTTTAAATATTAACTTATGTGAAACTTTTCAACGGAATCAGAACATTTTAGTCTTTCAATTTATCATTTTGAATTCTAAGTTAAATGTATATGCTCGAGTCATAGTTAAAGTCTGAAAATATGAATGTGAAATTAGTGGTGTAAAAATTAGGATTTTAAGCATTGGATGTTATATCAATGAGACCATCTATTGCGATATTTTGTTTAAAAGGTATCTCAATTCTTAGTTGATTCTACAGAGAAAACATGTTCTATCCAATAATTTAATTTCCAAGATAATTTGGCTGGACATTGATATACACATAGATATCTTTTATAAGTGTTGAAGCATAAGGCTAGATTGTTAAGACATTATCTTAAACAGTATAGCCTGCATTGAATGTCAATCCATCCACAGTCCAATTATACAGTTCCCATAATCTAGTTAAATTTAAAGTTCCGTTTTCGTAATTGCATTCAAACTTAAACTAATTAAATCTCTCAATAATGAAATTACCATTGTTATTTATCTAATTAATGCTGCAATTTCTAATTTAGCTTGTGTTGTATGGAAATTAAATTCCATCTGATAGATAGATGCTCCATGGTGCTGTAGACACTCTTTTAAAGTCATCAGTAGCAATACTGAGCTAAAACAAATGAGAAAAATTGAGAAGTTAATTATAAGTATCTTATCCCATCTCATCTTTCAGTTGCATTAAGGATATTTGAAATGAACATGAAGTAGTAAAACAATATTTCTAACTAATTAGTGCTGGACATATCCAGTAACAGCTAAATGATTTGTTTAAGGGATCATATGATTAAGTTGCATTCAACTAAATGAACTCATCCTAACCATCAATATAGATAAACTAGCCTGAGGGCTTAGCTACAATTTATGGAGGATTAATCTCTAGGTATACATATGACTGATATAGATAAACTTTTGAACTTGAGCCCATTCTTAATTATTGAGTAAATATTAACGCTGTTTCTACAAGGGGGTTTATGTTTTATACTTAATTAGGTCTGATTAGAATCTCATAATCATTATTATCGTTTATTTCCCAAAATTTGAGGTTTTATTCTACTGAAGATGACCAAGTGGGGTCTTATAAATTGACGTTCTCGCATTCAACTAATAGATTCATTGTGATATAGGTGTTATATTTTTGGTAATAGTCTAATTTCACAATATTACTGTCAAATTCATCGAAATTTCCACTGACTGAAGTTTTAATACACTCAGAATAGTCAGATTTCTAGGTAATTGTTACCTGAATGGAATAATTTTAGCTGGCCAACCATAATTAAGGATCTCTAATTTGGACATAGAATGTAAATGTCTAACCAACTCCATTTATTCCAAGATCATTTCTCTCATCAGCACTAGTGTTCATCTTTGGAGAGTTGAATGAGTCACAATTTTGATCAGGAGTTGGACAGGTCCACAAGTAAGTATATTCCGAGGGTATTTCAGTCTCAGCATCAAATGCATTAGAAGCATCAATCACAAGATTAGCATACTTATCGAAATATAAATCTCTTGAATTGAATTGTATCATTAGACTAGCTCTCTCCCTCTTAAGAAATATTTGTTAAACATTAATTAAAGTTCTTGTACCTCTTCTTATTATCTGGTAAACAGTTCCGTTATATATTTTTTAGGGTCCTATGTTGAATAGATTTTAAATTTGGCTTAAATAAACAGTGAGTTTTTAATTCAGAGGAATCAAACCTGGACTCTCTTGCTAAATTAACTTAATTGGTCCCTCAGTAGAATTCAGTATTTCATTGCCAGGATAATATAAAACTAATCTGCTCGTAACATTGGCTTAACCACAAGGAGATCTATTAAGCATAGAACCGTTATCAATTAAAGTTTGAACACCAAAGATTATGTCAGTATAATTGACTCTTGTAAACGATATTACTCTTGAAAAAGTTGTATTTAGATAATAAATGTTAGGGTTTGCTTCGAAGTTATACAAACTCAATGACTCACATGTAGTAGGACTCATAGCATAATTAACATCTGTAGTTTAAGGCGCAATAAACCTTACTGAATAATCTAGCGTACTATTAGCTTTGAACTAATTATCTTTTGTCCAAACTATCAATGTAAATATGTAAGAAGTATTATAAGCTAAGTTATACATAAATTTAGTCCATATATCGATAACAAGTCTACTATTTCTTATGCCACCTTTGATCATTTCAGTGCAATTAGTTATTTCTTCTGGACATGTCCAATCAAACCATAGTCTTGCAGTAGCATTATCAGGATCAAAAGAAGATAAACCGTCTAAGGTCACATTGGGTTCTAAAAAATTGATGTTCCCATCACTAATGTTTTTCCCTGAAAATGTTGTCATGTTAATTTTAGCTACGATATTATTAGACTTGAATGTGACAGTAACTGAGGAATTTATTTATTTTGATAAAACTTGAGGGAAAGTTTAATATCTTGTGTTAAAAGTTGAATTTATTGTCAATACAGTACCACCCATTAATGCTTTTATGTTTGTATTGGTACTTCTCAAGAAAAATGATAAAGGGTACTGAGGATCGTAATAAACAATATTTTGTAGAGTTTTTCTGCTGATTTCATCAAATACACTAAATGAGACACTTACTATTTCAAAATAGGCAAAGTAGCAAAACAATGAAGCATCAGGTCTGATTTCAAAATCTGCCTCGACCATTTTATCATAAATGTAGTAACTTTGTGGATATGTAATTGAAGGGCATCTGTCATTGTTGCTACCATTTTTATAGAAAGTAACATTTATATTCAGCGGCCGGATAATATAGCTGTTTGGTATCTAGAATAAGAATCTGAATAAATATACTTTGCCAAGTTAGTAATCAAGATTTTTGAATTAGTTTTAATCTAATATAAAGTCTCGACCTCTCATGACACAGAGTTAATTATACTAAGAAATATTTTTAAATATCTCTAAGGGGCATATGGGCGAAATATTAAGAACTTAAGAAGTATTACCAGTTCCTTCAATAGTTACATTGCTAAAATTAAAAGTCAAGTTATTATGAGTCAGTTAATTTCTAGTCATATTATTGTTGTCAACGCCAGTTTCAATTGATTAATTTACATACATTAAATCCATAAAGTAATCTTAACTCTAGAATTCGTTATAATTTATTCTAGTTGTAATTCTAGTGGTATTTAAATTTTGAGCATTAAGTCTCTATGTCAACCTAATTTAATCAACTGAAACATCATATGCATTTGTAAATTAACTTGTTGTAAGATTATTCCACCAGCTTACTTTTGATATAGCATAAACTAAGAGATTATCTGAAGGTTTATTATAGCATTATGAAAAGAGGATTTCACTCTTAAATTTAACCTAATGATTAGGCTTCCTACTTAAAGCATAAGTATTATTATCTTAATTAGCTAATTCATTTAGACTTAGTCTTGAAATTGGACAGTATAGTTGGAAAGATTTCTGTATATTCACTACTCTCTCAGAGTAAATGGAGTAAATTCTTGCATTTAGCGTTATACTGTAGAGCAAAGGATTTATTAAACCAGTACTTATATTTAATCCCAATGATCTATTAACATTAAACAACTTCTAAATATTATTCTCAACATAGCTGTCATTATAGTTATTGCCAACTTCAACAAGCTTAAAATCTGCGAAGATTGTATTATTAGGTTAAATTAAGCTAGGATGCTTTATTATTTAAACTAATATCTTATTAAGATTTTACGTGTACGACAAATATATATCTACTAATCCAGTGATATTGCTTATCTAGCAGCATTAACCATCGTAGAAATACTCATGCGGACACACAACTAATTCATCATCTGCTTAATATGAAAAAGATGTTAGGACTTATTCTTTTTCAACAAAGTACCTTGGGATTAAAGAGGTTTAATTTATCATAGTATCGTACAAATCTTAAAAATCTAGTCCATCATTTAGTCTAAAATTATGAAAAAGGACTTAAGATCTTGAAGTATCATAGCCAAAGGATCGAATCGCACTAGAGTATCTTAAAATTTCAACTTCTAAGGAATCCATTGAATATCCCCAAATCCTGAATTCCCTTAAAAGTCCAAGAAATTTATTAGTACCATTGAAACTTGAACCAATACTACTTAATAAGAACTAATTATTTTAAATGAAAGGGAAACTGGACTAATTTTAACTGAGTTTTTTTATATTATGATTCCAAACAAAAACCTTGCTTTAATTTCTACAAGAGACAAAAGTCAAATGAATCCATTGGCCATCAGTATAAACGCCATTCATTTGTATATTTGCATTTAATGCACTAGCTACATTTGGAGTTATTCTGATTTATCTAGTATCATTAGTAAATCCTGGTAAAATGCTTATCTAAGCCATTGGTGTGCGATTATTGACTGTGTTCTCAAAGATAACCATAATTTACTTTAAATTTGAAGTAAACTTAGACTAATCCTTTATCCATATCTGTATGGTACTGTTTTAATTCAATGATCTCAATTAACTCGTAAGCCCAGTTGATTATGACTGGTTATTGAAAGATGCACCGAATCTACTGCTCTTACAAGAGTTGCCTTGAATGAAATTTTGAGGATTGTAAAGCTCACTTAAAGTGCAAAGCTAGTTATTAGCTTCGAAGATTAATGTGCCAAAGGTAGTATTTTTTAGCTAAAAATTTGGGATCAATTCATCTTAAGTAAAGGTTTTGTTGAAAATCAATCTCGAAGCTGTACCATTCATAAATAGAGATTAAATCTAGATATAGCTTAGCAGATGATTGAAGGCGGTGATGGTTGATGGCTAAATTAGTAATTTGATTGATTTTCTAGTAGGAAGAGTGACTTAATGATCTATTGATTAAATAACCTATTGGTCAACAGTTAAAATGACTCTGTTTGATCGAATAGTTATATTGTAAGTTCTCCAGAATTAGAATCTGAACTAATGCAAGCTAAACAGTAGTCTTGTCTAGATCTAGCTCTCACTGTTGTATAAATCAATTCTTAGTCTTGTGCTCTTATTAGTCAAAACAATATCAGCATATTATTAAAGTGAATAAATTACTGAGTCATCAGAGCTAGTCATGATAATCGGATAAATCTAGAATATAAAAGTAGTACCGTTAGCATCTAAAGTGCCATTGAGTGGGCTCATATCTAGTGCTTTTAACTTAAATGTATTCTGAATTCTGAGAAACGAAGCTTTTGGTTTTGTACAATAGCAAACAGTCTCGGCTTCATTGGAATACTCTATGTTAACATTAGATGAGATCAGATTCCGAAGTGCGTAATATTGAGAGTGCTCTTAAAAATGGGTATCCTTTCCAAATTTTAAATAAGTGAGAACAGTAGTGTCATTTGGGGTGATTGATGATTTCGTTCTATTAGTAATATCTTAGTTGGTGGTAAAGCCTTGATTCAAGAAAACAAGGTGCCTTATGAAACCATTAAAAGGAGCATTTAAAATTAGAGTATTTCCTACAGAACAATAATCGGAAATATTCTAAACTTAAGTGTTGTTTATTATGATCTCAGCCTACTAAATTCCATTCACATGTATTCTCAATCTTTTATCTCTGAAAGAAACTGCTAAATGATTCCAAAATTGCAACTGCTATGAATCGTTTCTAAAAAGACTGATATTTAAGCTATTTGTCACTAATGAAGTTAGAGTGGCTGTACTTTGTGAATTTGAAGCATTTTAAGTTAGTGAAACTCTGAGAATGCTTTGCTCCAATCTAATTCTAAGCATATTATTGCATTCTATTATAGTTTGAAGTTCAGTTTAAGGCTCAGGTAACTTTAACCAGAGCATTATTGCTCCTTGATTAAGATTTTAAACTTAGTCATAGGGATTTCTAAACTTAATATATGAATTAGATGTTTCCTTGAATGAAGCATAATATATAAAAGGTTCAAGATAGCTATCATAAAATGTGGCTTTTGAGTTAGAGCATTAATTAACCTTTAGTGATTAAGCAGATGAAGGTATCATTCAAAATGCGATAAATAAGAGCAAAATAATGGTATTAAACATGCTTGATTTTTTGATTGAAAATGGTGATGAATGCATTATTTATTTATGAATATTTTTTCTTATTTACCTCTTTTGATGGCATTTATTATTACATGGGGTTTTGGGGTTTTGGGGTTTTGGGG